CAGGTTTTATGTTTACTCACTGGAATGGCTTTTAGTGGCTATTGTTGGCTATTAGCATCCATTTCTGGCCAGATTTGCCTCAAATGGCTTGCAATGGCTATTATTGAGTATAATTGACAATTATGTTCTATTTCAGTGTTTTTGAATGAAACTGGCTACAAGTGGCTATTACTGGCTATAAGCATTTAGATTGGCTTAAAATTGCTACAAATGGCTTGTAGTGACCAGTGTTGATATTTGTAAGCAGGTTTCACGTTTACTAACTGGAATGGCTTTTATTGGCTATTGTTGGCTATTAGCATATATTTCTGGCCTGATTTGCCTCAAATGGCTTGCAATGGCTATTAGTAGGTATAATTGACAATTCTGTGGTATTTCACTCTTTATGGACGAAACTGGCTTCAAGTGGTTATTATTGATTGTAAGCATTTATTTTTTATCGAATTGGCTTGAAAGATCTACAAATGGCTATTAGTGGCTAGTCTTGACAGTTATGAGCAATTTTAGTGTTTACTAACCGGACTTGCTTTTAGTAGCTTTTGTTGTCTATTATCATTCATTTTTAACCAGATTGGCTTCAATGGGCTAGCAATGGCTATAGCAAGTATTTGTGTATATTCATGAATAGCCATTCATAGCCATTCAATGGATATTCATAAATAGCCATGCATAGCCATTCAATAAATATTCACGAATAGCCATTCATAGCCATTTGAAGCCATTCTGGTAAAAAATAGATGGTAATAGCCAAAACTAGCCACATGAAGCCATTTCAGTTTGTAGACAAAAAAATAGCTGCTAATTATAAATACTCGTCACTTTAAGCCATTTGTAGCCAATTCAAGCCACCGAGGTCAGGAACAGATGATTATAGCCAATAATAGCCAATCCAAGCAACCAAGTCAAGAATAGATGCATATAGCCAATAATATCCAGTTGAAGTCGTTCAAATCTATAGACACTGCAATTGAATAAATTGTAAATAATAGTTGCTGATAGCCATGTATAGCCATTTCAAGCCAATCTAGTAAAAATAGATTCTAATAGCCAATAATAGCCATTTGAAGTCATTTTCCATCATAATAACCGAAATAGCAAGAATTGTCAACTATAATCATGAATAGCCATTTGTAGCCATTTGAAGCCAGTCAGTATAAGTCATTTGAACTCCGAATCTGCCATATAATTTATAAATATGATCATATAGTCAATAATAGCCATATGAAGCCAACTCAGTATTCACACAATCAAATAACTCGAAATAGGGACTGATAATCATGGACAATCACTAGAGGTCTTTTGGACCCTAAATCTGCCATATAATTATAAATAGGAATGTATAGCCAATAGTAGCCATTGGAAGCCAACTCAGTCTGCACACAACAAATATGTTGAAAAAGTGACCGATAGTGATTGATAGTCACGGAAGCAATTTGAACCCCAAATCTGCCTTATAATTTATAAACATGGTCACATAGCCAATAATAGCCATATGAAGCCAGCTCAGTCTGCACACAATCAAAATAACTCAAAATAGTGGCCAAAATTCAATAAAAGTAACTAGAAGTCATTTGAACTACGTATCTATCATGTCAAATTTTGATCAAAAAGCCAAAATTAACCATTGAAAGCCAACTCAGTCCGCGCGCAATCAAATAACTCAAAATAGTTACAAATAGTCATTGATTGTCATTAAAAGTCATTTGGAACAATCCGCCATATACTTAGGTAATAAAATCAATTATTAAATAATAGTCATTCAAATCCAATCTGAGACATAACGTCACAAATATCACGAAATGGTCACTAATGGTCATTAAAGTCTATCACAAATGGAACTACCTAATAAACAGCTGCTTGGTCTATATGCCCCGAAATAGCTTAGGATATTGACCCAGAGCCATTAATAGCCCTTGGAAGGCAATCTAGTTTATACTCGTTCAAATAACTCAGAAATACAATCCAATAGTAATTGCAGTCATTAGAGGCTAACCAGGCCCCCAAACCGACAGGTAAAACTGAACCGGACACCATTTCTACTTTCGTATAAATACTGACTCTTCGTTAAACAGCCAGTGTAGTATTTACTGGCTGTAATAACTACGTCGTTGTAGCATTTCCAGACTCATTGGAAGTGAATCTCATAAAATTAAAAATAATGACCCATGGAACAATTACATATTTGAATTGCTGTGCTTTATTTCTAACTGCAAAGAGGCAGTCACTGCAGCTCCATAAACTGTCAATTTACTAGAAAGTCACTATTTGCCGGTAGGTCATTTGTACCAGGTGTAATACATAGGTTTATATAATCTAAATACTTAGTCCCGATATGAAGCGCACCTCATTATCAGAAATACCGTGTATGAGCTCTTGCTCAATTGAAATCGGCACACCGATTTGCCATATATTCGCAATTCCTGATAGTGTGAAGAGAAGAAATAGTGTAGTGAATGACAGTTTTCTTTTTAATTTCGAGCTCATAGTTTACCATCCCACACCGAGAGATCGCAGCACTTCTGTGTCTCCCGACAACCCCATGTATTTTGGCTCGAGTTTCCACTATTGGTAGTCAATGGTACTTGCTTGTATGTTGGTAATATGTTCTCACCATAATATTGCCTATTGTGAACTCGCAAACGGGTCTAAAACGTCTCATTGGTTGATTAGAGAAAGCTGTGGCATCGTGTAGTGAAGCGGTGCCGTGCAGCCGTGCCCTGTAGCGGCGCCGTGAGCAGTTCGTTTGCTGCTGTGGAGGACTACAATGTAGGACTGCTGCTACAAACTGTGTTTTAAGCGACTCCACAAACGGCTTCCGACCTGATCTTAAACAGCGCAGCCGGTGATATGTCGTCGCAAGATGCTTTCAAACGGTCGTGTCGAAGACGGTCGTAGTCAAACGCAAGTGTAAACGAGCCTTAGAAATGGGGCGGCCCAAGCATAAGCCGGAGCAAGCAGCGGCTGCTCGAAGGTGTAAACGTGCCTATGACACAGATTGTCCTCAATGTGTAGGCAGTCACGGTCTCATCTCGTCCATTTGTTGCAAAAGACCACGCTATGCGTGAACGTAAAGGGGCGCGTAGAAGAGAACGTTCCTCAGCGAAGAATGGACACGCTGGTGCGACCAAGCTACTTGTGCAGCGCATCCACGAGAACGTGTTTGGCGCGAGATGTTTTGTGCGTGATCGGTTGTTGTTTACGTGAGTCACCGAGCGCGGTAAATCACTGCAATGTCTAGTCACTCACGACCAGAGGTCGGCATTTTAGGTCGCCCTCACTCACCCTCACCCTCGCAGCCACACTCACCTAAACCCCTCACTCACCCTCACCCTCACAGCTACACTCACCTTCAGCACCTCACTCATCCTCACCCTCACAGTCACACTCACCTTCAGCCCTTCACTCACCCTCACTGAACCTCACGGCCCTCACGCACTCACCGCCCTCACGCCCCTCACTCACTCATGGCCCTCACGCCACTCACCGCCCTCACGCCACTCACCGCCCTCACGGCCTTCACGCACTCATAGACCTCACGCCACTCACCGCCCTCAGGGCCCTCACCGCCCTCACGGCCCTCACGCACTCATAGCCCTCACGCCACTCACCGCCCTCACCGCCCTCACGGCCCTCACGCCACTCACCGCCCTCACGCCACTCACCGCCCTCATGCCACTCACCGCCCTTGCGGCCCTCACACCCCTCACTGCCCTCACGGCCCTCACGGCCCTCACCGCCTTCACGGCCCTCACGGCCCTCACGGCCCTCACCGCCCTCACAGCCCTCACGGCCCTCACCGCCCTCACAGCCCTCACGGCCCTCACCGCCCTCATGGGGCGATTTCGCCCAGAAACTTTACGTCGCAACACCAACAACACGGGCCGCCCGCGATCACACGCAGCAACCAATTGCTGCAATTTGCCATCGTCATCATAAAATTTTATTTTTCTTGCACTATTTCGACACAATTACGCGTTATAAACGTGTTTTTATGCATTTAAATCTCGTTAAGAATACTAATGCACCTTTCTGAAACAGTTTATTTCCAAAAAAACGATCGATTTCAAACCAGAACCAAGTCTTTGGGAGTCATCATCACCGGCACGAGGTATCACGTGAAAATTTTGCGTCCCTGATTTGATGCAGCCGCTTCAAACGTATTCGAATTGCTCCGAGTTGCTTGCTTATTTCGAGCCGGACCCGATCTCAGCAATTCGTGTCGATCTAGGGAAAGCTAGAGAACAACCCGCCATTAACACCAAAATTGCTGAGAAAGATGCTCGATCTGAAGGGCGCCTCATGCACTCACCGCCCTCACGCACTCATGGCCCCCACGGCCCTCACCGCCCTCACAGCCCTCACCGCCCTCGCCGCCCTCACGGCCCTCACGGCCCTCACGGCCCTCACCGCCCTCACGCCCTCACGTCCCTCACGGCCCTCACGGCCCTCACGGCCCTCACCGCCCTCACGGCCCACACGGCCCTCACCGCCCTCACGGCCCTCACCGCCCTCACAGCCCTCACGGCCCTCACCGCCCTCACGGCCCTCACTCACCCTCACACTCATGAATTTTCCTGGTTCAGAAACTCACTCACCCTCACCTCACCTGTGAAGATGAGGGTGAGTGAGGGTGAGTAAGGGCCCTCATGAGTGAGGTTTGCCGAGGTATGCTCACGACACACTATTCTCACGATGTCGCACCAGCTGACGCTGTTCATTCGCATCACGTTGATTGATCTTTGATGCAATTTAGTTTATGGAGCTCACCTCCGAGCTTTTTCCACCTATCACACTGAAGTTGCGAGCTGAAAAAAAGCAAGAACAGAGCCAGGTACGAAACAGTTTAATTTTGAACCTTTCAAACATATTACCTGGAACATCAGTAACACTAGTTCAAACAAGGCTGCGAGCGTTCCAGAACTAGTCCGCCCTTCTGCCTATTAAATCAACCAATGACTATAGTGACACAAATTAGCAAGCATGCAACCTGTATTACTCTATCATTGGCCGCCGGAGACATCAACTGCCGAGCCTGTCATAAAGCTGCTTCCGGAGCTGCACAGGAACCTGACAACTTCAGCAACCTCTTCGGGAAGACCTGGCCTTCCTAGTGGAATATCGGCCATCGCCCGTTCACGTGAGCCGGGAGTGAAGTACAGGGATTGCATTGGGGTTTCAATGAAACTCGGTAACACGACGTTGACCCGAATGCCGTGGGAAGCCAATTCCTTCGCAGCTACTTTGGTGAGTGCCACGACCGCTGCCTTGGAAGCCGTGTACGCGCTCGCTCCTTTGTCGATTATTTTCGCCATCATGCTTGATATGTTCACGATTGTGCCGTCAGTGACGTTTTCGGCGATCATGGCTTGACCAGCAGCTTGGGTAACCAGGAAGCTTCCCTGAAAATTAACGTGTTAGTGTTTAAATGCGAATAAATCATCTGTTTTAAGGTCGTAAGAAAATCGTAACGTCATTTCAGAAATGCCAAAAATTTTAAACTTGATGCAAAGTGTAATGTGTTCTATAGGCGTATTACTTTTTTCAAACTTGTTATTTAGGTGCAAACTCTTGGAAAATTTGCGCGATGAGCGAAACATGTAGGTGCAATGAATTCCACAGTGAACCTACTCTTACTTTAAAGATGCAGGGAGTTTCAGGATGAGTACTGCAGCCCATTGTACTACGTGCAGACAAATTAAGCTATACTAAGAAAAACAAGCCTGAGCTGAATTTTTAACAGCGTCAACGTTTAAATGTCACCAAGGCACAAATTTCTGCCCCAAAAGTTTAATTAATTGCTGATTTAAATATATATAAAAAACATGCATCGTCTCTAATATATCACTTTCAGAAAATACTTAAGTTACTTCAAAGCAACACATTATGTATAAAGTGCCCGTTGGGCATGCTAGAGCTGTGTACTTCTGTCGGAATGCAGCAAGAATACACGTACTCAGAATCTCATTGTATGCATGCTCCAGAAAAGGGTATTCTTCACAATAAACCAGAGACTTGAAAAGGAGCACAACCACACACAAAGTCTCAACGTTGAGACTCCATGTGTCGTGTTCCTTTTCGTGTGGTGTCTGCTTTGCGCCTAACAGGCAGCAAAAGGTGGAAGGGGATTATCGCTACCTAAAAGTATAAGACCTGGCTCCGCGCTGTCCGGCGCTGGAAGTAGGGAAAGCAACCACTCGCGCGCTAAAACCAGTTGTATGTGCGATAGAATTTGCTCTTCAGAGCACGTCACGGAAGACGAGGTACGAACGGCAACCACCTTGAGGTTCACTCGTATGAGATTATCAAAGTCCTCCTCGCTCGTGTCAGTGATGGGAGTTCCCGGGAGGCCGATTCCGGCGGAGTTCACGACGATGTCCGGCACGCGGGAACAGGCTCTCCGGATGTCCTCGAAGAGGGAATTCACAGATGAGGAGCTCCCGACGTCCACTTTGAAAGCACGATGTTGGTGGATGTCTGTGAAGTGTAAAGGAGGTTCACAATGAACCATGCAGTGAATACGTTTGTCAAATAAAAAACCCTCAGTGTAATGTTGGAAATATCGCCATCCAAAATTTCTAACGCCGTAGTCTAGTGATCTACATTACTAGCAGTGTACCGGTCAAGGAGTTAGAAATTTGAGACTAATAGAGGCATGATTAATATATGAAATATTCTTTTCTTTGACGGTGTTTGATTTCCATGTGTAGAAGTTCGGTCCTTTAATATTTGTCTTTGGTTCCAGTAAACGCCTTTAAAAAATATATAATTATGTCTGGTTTGTACGTAGACAGTTATAGAGTACAGCTCTAAACTTCACCATTGATTATAGCCCCAAAAAAGAGGAAAAGAGACCCTTCGATGGGCTGTTATTCTGTGTAGCTTCCGGTTAAAAGGAGCAACTTTGGGCAGTAAATGCGACCTAACGATTCAACACGAGCTCTGCGTCACAACTCGGCAACGCACTCGTATGATCGAGGTCTAGTTTGGGTCAGGTAATTGCGATCGTGGCATGTTTCAGAGTGGGGTATAGCACGCTTAAAATTTGCTACCTGTTTAACTAAGCTTTCTTGTCCGGTAGGCGTAAACCATTCTAATACTCGTCTTTTTGTGCCCGTTCACCTTTATTTCAGAGAGCGTTCAGGAGCATGCACAGTAAATCTTTTCTTCGGCACCTCAGCAATTCGGCATTTTTCGCCAACGAAATAAGCGCTAGAACGTTGTATAATACCTTTCATAATCGTCTTCTCTTAGATGTTTTCTTGGTCAAGTGCTAATCGCGTGCACAACACCGCGGTTTCTCTCTTTGGTGAAATATATCAGGCGCCACGAAGGAGTCTGCAACCCTTACTCGCAATGTTTCGCCGACGTGATAAGTACGAAGGTATACACCTTTTCCACAAGGGCGCAGCCATGTTGGTTCATCCCCGTACCGCCGGTTTTTTTTTTCTGCACGACATGTTGATCGTGCTCCTCATGTGACTGAAATGGACGAATAGCGGCGCCGCGCTCAAAAGCAGAGGAACGTACGCCGGGGCCGTGCAACGTCTACTTTCCTACATGGCATCTGATCAGGCTCTTCACGTGATCGGATCTCGGCGAATAGCGGTTCGGCCGCACGTGGAAAACAGACGGGTAACTCTGGCTCCCGTAGGGAGCCTATACAGGAACTCTCCTCGAGAGTGCTCGCTACCACCGTGTTTTAATAGAATGAGCATAATCATTTTGTAATGTAGTTTTGATTAAAAAATAAATTCGTACAATAAAAGCAATGCTTAAAGTTAAAAAAGGCGGCGCTTTTGTTGTTGGCGGATTTCATCTGTGTGTCGTCTTTCTTTTGCTGTTCCTCCAATGCTGCTCCCGACGCCATCTATCAATACGTGCGCCAAACGCGCCCCGTAACTCGACTTGGTCGTCTGCGTCGCCGCCCGCCGTTCATCCTGGCAAGTTTTTCGGCCTTATTTTATTACAGAAAGGGAGCTGCGCTTTGTAATTTTACATGAACAAACGGACCGCTGAACTTTACCTTTGAAGAAAAGCTTAGCTCGCTAAGCGCAGACGTCGATTTTTACGGTTCATTTTAGATCGAGCCTTGTGACTTGGGACACCCGACAGACATATCACACGCGCAATAAATTAAACAAGATTAATATAGATATAGGTTGCGCTTTCTACAATCTGGGTAGTTTTACCTGGCAGAGATGAGGCAGTAGTCATTGCTGCGTTCAAGTTGATGTCCGCCACAATGACGCAAGCACCATCGCTGGCGAGAGCATGGCAGACGCTCTTCCCGATGCCGCTCCCACCTCCAGTCACGAGAGCGAGGCTATACGACGAGGTCTTCGTCGAGGCCGACATGGCAGCAGATGCAACAACAGGCACTCTTCGACTTCAAGGATCCGAGGAATAACTGAGCAAATGGTAACCAATGTTTCCCGATGCAGACTATTTGTCCGCAGAACAATGGTGCCTGGAGCGCGTCTTCGACTAATGTGTTTAGCCCGTACATCAAAAGTGGTCAGGAAGTGGCAACAAATGGCGTCACAGAAGGCGAAGTGTCATGCTGTTGCATGGGGCGATCCTGGCGGTTGGTCGTAGAATATCTAACGGGAAGCTGCGAGTAGTACGAGCCAACGCGAGTGTCACCGTCGTCACGGCGTTCCAACTTCTGGCTGCCGAAACTTCCGAGGACTGCGACAATGAAGAGCGACCTGCAGCAGAAAGGGCGTCTGACACGTACACCATAGCTGTTGGGACGCCACCAGGATCGCGACTGGCGATAGCATGACCCTTCTATGACGTCAGCAGGCGGAAATCGAGGGACCATTTTTTTTTGGACGCGGTAAACACACCAGTCGGAAGCGCTTTCCAGGCATTATAGCAGAACGGATGCAGATGTTACGAACATTTTTATACTTCGTTCAGGGAGAAAATCAAAAGTCCCGTATTAAAAGCGTATGTCGGCGCACGGGACGTTGACGTATAATCACTTTAACGTATGGGCAGCTAATGCCGACTCATTCAGCCGGATATGTGTATCCCCTCTGTCTCCTACAATATGATGGGGAAGGGTGGATTGCCCAAGAATGTTTTGGTCAGTCTACCTAGTCGCGAAGTTGATGATAAAAAAAACAAAAAAAACATAAGGAAGTTAGACAGAAAAGTAAAATAAAGTATTCCGTTTAACTTCAAGCCCTCAGCTTGGCGCACTATAGCCTTCGTTTCTGTTGCCCAACTAAACCCCTAATCATCATAATCATCATCGCGTTAAGCCCGACCGCCGCCAAGGCTACAATCCGATGTGGCCAATCACGCAGCGCCAAAAGTGTATCTTCATGGTGCTCGTCCTTTTTGTACGTTTCCCTTGAAGGATTAAAGGAATTCACACAGCTAATGCAACGTAATACTGCGTCTTGTTTTTGCCAGTAATTGGTTGAGTTAGTTATAGCAAACGCAATGAGATGTCAAAAGCAAAGCTGGGCAGAATCGCAACACAAATGTATCGTGATAGTATCATGGAGATACTTTCGCGTATCTGACACTCTGTATCGAGATACATTTGAAAAATATAGTTGTATCTTAGTAGTGAAATACATTTACAATGTATCGCTTGTATCGCGATACTTTGTCTTTCATATTCATCTTGTTATATTTGTTGTCCTTTAAAAATAAAATTAAAAGATAAATACGTCTGTTTGGTCCAGGTTGTTTCTGGATTTTTAATGAGAACCGGCCCTATAACATGATCCATCTCAGTCACCAAAATAAACAAAAGACTGTGGCTTAAAGAACGTTACTTGGAAGAATAACAAAATTAGTTCCTCTCACAAAGTCATCCGCTCTTTCCAATTTAACAAAGCGAACGCTGTAAAGGAGTTGAGTGGAGAAAATGTACGGCCCTGTTGTGCAGTCTCCCCACACTATGGGCGATTAGGAAAAATATGAAACGACACTTTGAAATGTGCCTTCAAGGCGAAACAGGGTTCACTTCGGGCAGACACATTTTGTAAAGCGTAGTACGCAGTCTTTAGCGTTCGGTAACTATGCGGTTCAACGGGGTGACATGTTTATTTAGTGACATTAATGATAAGTAATAAATGTGAGGTAAGAGGGAGTAAATAAAATGACATAAAAAGATGAGGGAAAACAAATTACCATTCGCCTTCGCACGAACTACACCCTTCCCACGTAGCACCGGAACAAATGTATTTCTATAAGTATCCGTATGTATGTGCATTCCGGAATACCTTATCGTCATGGGTGTAGCCCGAAACAACCCATTCCCGTTTGAACCCGTCCCGTTTCGACCCGTTCCCGAAACGACCTTCCCGTTTGAACCCGTCCCGTTTCGACCTATTCCCGAAACAACCTTCCCGTTTGAACCTGTCCCGTTTCAACCCGTTCCCGAAACGCCGTTCATATTTGAACCCGTAGCCAAGACGTAAACGACTTAATTTTCGCGGACTCGAATTTTCGCGAATCGGGCCAAAGCTGAAAATTTGAAATTATTCGCGGGTTCTAATTTTCGCGAATCGAGTGCAGCTTCCGTAGTGTTCACACATTGCCCGAGTTGTTCGCGCGACGTATTTTTCGCGTTTGTAGGCGAATCGCGAAAATTAGGTCCTCGCGAAAATTTAGTCGTTTACACTATTTTACGTTTGAAATTCGTACCGTTTGAACCCATTAATTGGTATAAAACCCCGCGCATCTCAACCTCTTCGCAAAAAGTGTCCATCGTTATAATCCTGGTTTGCGCAGTTTTTCTGTTTAAGAATAAGTCCTGAGATAATGTTAATGCAATTAATGCAAAGGTGCAACCGAGCAATTCAGTTATGTTGTGAAACATTTTTGCTTGTAAACGTATTCTTAAAATATGCAATACTTTCAGACAAGCTTCAAGGAAATATATTTTTACTTGAACCTCTTAAAATGTTTCTTTCAAGATGATCCCCAAAAAGTTGTAATTACAAAATGGACTATGTACACTGCGCGACAACGTTACCGCGAACCCGATCTTGGCGATTTTTCAAATTTTACTTCGAAATGATATCAGCAGGTACCAGATTTTACCGCTCAGGTTAGTGGCCCAGATGAGCTCTTTCACTCACACTAGTAATATTGATGGCAGTCTTCTGTTTTTTTTTTAGACAAACAGCGAAAACCAACAATCGCTTGTTCGCGCTAACGGTTCCGCGCTCTGTACAATAACAGGGAGCGTTCGTATACCGGTTTCGAAGTTTTGCGACGCTCCTCCGCAACTCGCTACGATGCCCAGAACTCTACAGTAACGGCCATCGGCGCGCAGGCGCAGTAGCGGCTTCTTCGTTGCGGAGGGCTTAGCGAAAGGGGAAACGCGGTCTACGAAAGCACCTAATCAAGTCTTAGAGTAACGCAGGCAAGGCACTATAAGTAAGCAAAAATTAGCGTTGCCTAAGTTTTTATATTGCGACGCTACTCTTAGGTTACCCAAAGCGCTTACGTACGTTATTCTAAAACTTCAATATAGTGAACGGGATACTTTTTAAAAATGATAAATCAGACAGACTGATGGGCATATGATTGCGACTTCATTTTCTTACAAGTTCAAACACAGAACCGTTGCGTACACAGCCAAAAATCATAAACTACAAAATGCTGTCGCCTTGGTTGAGGAAGTCGAGAAGGAAAATCGCGCCATCAGAAAGGCGGCACTCCAATTGTGATAGTTCGCGGCGGTCACCTGGCCCGCACGGCACCACCATTTGCAAGCTGCTGCAGCGATATCTTTCTCAGGGATCATCCCGTTTGCAGGTCGATGAAGTTGTAAATGTTCGGGTAAGCCCTACCTAAAACAGCGCTTATCTTACGGTGCCATGTCTCCGAGGTTGTTTCGGAAAAGGGAGAAGTGGTGTGAGCGAGGAGAACAGACACTGGACACTTGAACCTAATCAACTGTCAATGAACAGTACAAACGAACCGAACGATGGCCGAAGCGGGAAGGTTGTCTCGGGAAAGGGCGAAATGGGAAAGGATGAAACGGGAAGGTCGTTTTGAGACTGGTTGAAACGGGAAGGCACAAACGGGAAGGTTGTTTTGGGAATGGGTCGAAACTGGAACAACCCATCGTCATGTTTACTGAAGTATCTGGGGGATATCTCGTTGGCCTAAAAGACAAATGTATCTCAGTATCTGTATTTTGGGCCTTAGAGAATATGTATCTCAGTTTTCGTAGTCCAGTATACCTTTTGGAGTAAATCTGCCCAGCACTGGTTCGAAAGCTGGTGGCAATGCACTTTTAGCGCTTTTTCATTGGCGTTATCGTTTCGTAGCGTTGCCTGAGTTTTTAGTTCATGTGAAACTCAATATAAACAGTTGAATGTTTAGACAACGAAAGGTTATTATTTTTAAGGGCAGTATAAACCATTTACAAAGGTCGTGTTCCTGTTATTGAAAAGTCAGAACCCCTGCAGAGTGCCGAACAAGTGACCTCGTGGACCGTGCAAGTAGTTCCGTAAGAGGTGAACGTCAAACTTCGGCCGACGCAAGAAGCCGACGACCCTATCAAACAGCGTCGAAAGTGCATCGCCACTGCGCTCATCACCTTTTACTGTGGGTGTCTTCTTGCCTTCTGATCCAACCAAACTCACTAAGTGTGCCGTAGCGTTGCTGTTTTAGACCGCCGTTGTGCAGAAATGTCACAGCTGCCAACAGAGTCTATTAAATGGAGTCTATCTGAGCTCCCAGGAGTTTCGAATATGAACAGACATTATTATCTGGATTTGTGGCCCGAGTAGATGTATCGTGTTAATTTCTCTGGTCTCTTAAATAGTTCGACAAAGCGCTTGCATACTGTTACCATAAAAAAAATAAAAACGTACAGACTGCAAATTATTATGATAGAAGTAACACACAGAGAATAAATTGTGTTTTTACATGTGAAACTGAGTTTCACGCATGGCCATACTATAAGACTTTACTTGCCACATATAGTTTTCAAGTTACGTAGATTTCGCTTGTTTAAGTGACCATATCAGACAAGAGGGACACAAAGCCTTCTCACTCCTTACTGCCCTAAAATAGAAGTCACGTGAACCATCAACACATTGGCGATAGGATGTCTGAAGAGCGCACTTGTCAAATTAGTGTGTAGCATTTTTTCAGTAAAACTCATTAAGGTATTCCACAAAAAAAAATATAAAAAAATTTAGGTAATGAATTCTTAAGCCATTGGATAAATTTTCTTTCCTTAATAGCGTAACGACTAGACATGTACATATATCTTAGAGATGCGTACATATTCTAATAGACTTTAACATTCCCTCTCACATTCCGGTCTGAGTTTCCGAGAGCCGCACAACAAAAGTTCAATTTGAATAACG